GTGTATATCCATGGTGTGTAAGGCCTTGTGAAATTGAGAGTCACTATAAATATGCTGCCATAAGGCTCTTTAAAAATAGAGAGCCTCTGAAATTTATATTGCACATTGAGCTGCTCGTGAGAACCCTCAAGTATACTATGTCAAGCAAGTTTTTCTCTGCTATTTGATGATGATCTATGCAATAAAAACTCATTGATTCAACACTGAGGCGTGCTTTGTTTGCTGAGATGAGGCCGCAGTCAATTTTGCTGATGCAAGGGCTGCATGGGAGAGTGACATGGTGTTTCAAGCTTCTGTGGTCAATTCTGAAGGTTGACACAGGTATAATTCATCTTCTCACATTTGTTCAGACTGTGTTTTTGTTGAGATTATGCTGAAAATGAATTCAGACAGAGTGGTTAGTAATTAAGCTTATTTTTCTGAAGAAATCTTAGATTCAAGTGCTATTTGATTAGACTTAGCTATTTCATGATGATCTATGTTGTTAGCTAGTATATTTTGATGAATCGAGATTGTCAAAGTTGAGTTAGTAGCAAAAATATGGTATGCTTTGCTTTTGAGTATTCTGTCTTGAAGATATTCTGTGTCAAGGCTATTTTGTGCTGTTTAGATTCTGTGCTGAGGAGATTCTGTGCCAAGGATATCTGTGCCGAAGCGTTTTGTGCCGAAGCTGTTATATACTGAACCAAGGACTTTGACTGAACTTGTGATATACTCATTCTGTGTTTGATTATACAAAGCGATGAACATGAGTACAACAGTAAAAGAAGACAGTATGAGGTGCTGGTGAATTGATCTCAAAAGGAATTTCCTATTTTACCCCTCGGACACTTAATGCAATAGATTGCAGTTCTGAGGCAGTAAATTGGAATTCTGTGATGTCCAGCTTATTTGAATTATATTTGGTGTGTTGACACTTGTTGTAAATGGCAGTGAGGCATAATCCCTCATCCCATTATTGAGTGGTAGTGAGGCTTTACATCCTCACCCTATTATTGAGTGAGCTTTAAGAGCTTATTGGGTCCAAGCATGGTTGCTTCAGACAGGGGGAGTGCATAGATGCACTGTGGTGTCCTAGTGTGTGTGTATTAGTTATGAAAACTAATGTCTATTCTAGTGCATGGGTGTGTGCAAAGAGTGAGACAGCTGAGTGTGTAACAAGATACATACAACTAGTGGATTGCTCATTAGCCGAGGCCAAGAACCAAGGTTTTCCCTATTTAAGAGGGTTTCCTTGTAAATCTTGTGTTATCTGTTCTTTGAATGCTTGCTTAGTTGTGTGAGAAAGTTTTTGAAAGCAAAGACTTAACCAATTTACCCCCCCCCCCCCCTCTTGGTTCAATAATTGGTATCAGAGCTTTGGTCTGCATTGTGAGGTTCTAACACACCTGCAGTTGATCCCAGCAATGGATGAAGGTCAAGTTATCAACGAAGCTCCGGGGTTTGAAGGTTCAAACTATGATTCTTAGAAAACTAGAATTGAAGCCTTCTTAATATCTCAGTCCTATGATGTTTGGCATGCTACCATACATGGCTTTGTGATTCTTAATCCTGATAACCCCTCTACTGAAGATAAAATGGTTGTGGCTAATGATGGCAAGACCAAACATGTTTTCTTCTGTGTTTTGAGGCAACAAGAGTTTACGAGAGTTAAAAATTGTAAAACAGCCAAGGAAATATTGGATTCTCTTCAGGTAGCTCATGAAGGTAATAAGGTTATTAAGGAGGACAAGATACAGCTATTCAAAGTTCAGTATGGGGTGTGTAAGATGGAAGATAGAGAAACTGTTTCTGAGTACATGTTCAGGATCAATGACCTTGTCAACAATATGAGAGCACTTGGCAAAGATATTAAGGATGTTGATTTTTATAAGAAGATACTAAGGTCACTCACCCCTAGATTCAATCCTAAAGTGACAATTCTCTAAGACAAAGATCTTTCTGAAGTGAAGATTGACGAGCTTCAGGACTCTCTCACTGCCTATGAAATGAGAGTTGGTGTTCCAGCTGTTCATAAAAGAGAAGCTGCTCTTAAAGCAAAGAATGTGGTTGAAGAAACTGAAGCAAAGTCTAAAGATGATCTTGAAGAAGATGAGGTTGCCTATCTTGCTAAGAAATTCAAAAAGTTCCGGTTTAAAAAGAAGAATCAGCTATTAAATTTAACTTGCTATGGTTGTGGTAAACCTGGTCATATTGCATCTGCGTGTCTGAACTCAAAGCGGCAGAGTCAGAAGAAGAATGAGGAAGGAAACTATAAAGGAAGGTTTGGCAGAAAAGCACTTATCTCAAACTGGGATGCAACTCCTGAAGAAGAAAAACCTGAGGAGACATAAGAAGATGAATGTATTTTTATGGCAATTATTGAAGCACCACAAATTTCTATTCAAGTTGATAAAGATAGTGACACTGAGATTGAGGAAATTCTTGAAGAGTGTGAAAGGCTTACAGTGAAGTGTGATCAATAGAAGGCTCAGATAAAAAGGCTCAGCTCAGAATTGTTCAAGTCCAAACAAATTCTTACTAAACACTCCAAACTTAAACTGTCAATGTTGTGTTCAGTTCTCTTATTTTTCAAAGCCTATTGAAATCTCAAGTCAACACTCAGTGGTCTACCAAGAAGTGTAAAGAAGAATTGTCTCTCATTCTATAAGAAAGATCCCTAAAAATGGCTGAGATCTGGAAGCAATCCACAAAGCAAATTGGGAAGACCGGAATTGGCTATGTGTGTGATTCAGCCACAAAGGTCAATCAAACTCACTCTGTATTTGTCAAAGCCACAACTGGTGAAGTGTATGCAAAGTTTCTTATCATAAAGCCTCAGAGGTTCAAGGATGAGTTACTTAATAACACCTGCAGTACTCTAAACTTCAGCAAAAGAGACTTTGTTACCACAGCTATAAAAAAACTTCAAGATAATTAGAATGTATGTCAAGAAGTCAGACTTAGCTTCAGCTCAGAAGGTCAAGGACAAAGGATCATTGGTGAAGACTAAAATGATATGGATTCCTAAGAAGCTAAACTCTGTGAGTCTTCTTGTGTATACAGCTTTTAAAGCTTGTAATACTCAGGATAAATGGTATGTTGATAGTGGCTGCTCAAGATACCTGATAGGTGATGGTTCCAAATTTAATTCGTTGAAGAACTTTGATGGTGGAAATATTATCTTTGGAGATAATCAAAGAGCTAAGATTATTGGAATTGGCACTATGAGTAAGTCTGAAGAGTTACCAGAAATCCACGAAGTTCTATTGGTTGAAGTACTCAAGCATAATCTCCTCGGTGTTAGTCAATTGTGTGACAATGGGAATGAGGTCTGTTTCAATAAAGAAAGATGCAATGTGGTTGATCTTGAATCAAAATAAGTTTTGTTCTCAGCTAATAGATCTTCAGAAAATATGTACATAGTCACTGAAGAAAGTCAGGTCACTCAATGTAATTTAACAACCTGTGATGAGGCAAAGTTGTGGCACAAGAGGTTAGGTCATCTTCATTCAAGAAATATGTCCAAGATTCTAAAGCTGAAAGCTGTTAAAGGACTACCTGACATCAGTTTTAAAGATGATCACCTTTGTAAAGCATGTCAATAAGGAAAGCAAACCGAAGTGTCATTTTCTTCCAAGGAAATCAACTCTTTAACAGCTCTGGACTTGATACACATGGATCTCTATGGCCCTACTAGAACCACTAGTGTTGGTGGAAGTAAGTATTTCATGCTTCTTATTAATGATTTTAGTAGGATGGTGTGGGTTTACTTCTTGACAGAAAAATCTAAGGCCATTACATACTTCATCAAGTTTGTTAATCTTATTGAAAATGAAAGAAGTAGCACTGTGAAGAGACTTAGGTCTGATTTCAGCTCAGAATTCATCATGAAGGAGTTTGAGCTCTACTGTGATGATAAAGGTATCAAGAAAGAGTTCTCAGTTGTTGCTATTTCTCAGCAGAATGGGGTTATAGAAAGGAAGAATAGGACAGTTCAGGAAATGGGTAAAACAATGTTTCTTAAAAAAGGTCTAGCAAAGGGTTTTTGGGCTAATGCTATGAGTACGGCTGTGCACATCATAAATAGGGTTCTTCTCAGACCTAATTCAACCAAAACACCTTATGAATTATGGTATGGAAGACCTGCAACTGTTCACTACTTCAAGGTGTTTGGCAGTAAGTGTTATATACTGATAGTTTGGGCAAGTTTGATTCAAAGGCAGATAAAGGCATATTCTTGAGGTACTCTAAGAAAAGCAAAGCTTATATGTGTTACAATCTAAGGTCTGCAAAGGTGGTTGAGTTAATTCATGTGAAGTTTGATGAGAATCCTAAGTCCACACCTCTTGAAGACTATGACAATACTTTTGGTTCAAATGAAACCAGTTCCTCAGTTACTAAATTTGAAGATCCAAGGGAAATCATTTATCCAGTGTTGTAGAAGTAGGTTCAAGCTGAGAACATCATTGGTTCATCTCAAGCTGGAGTTCAAACAAGAAACAAGAAGAAGCTAAATGATTTAGAAACTGAAGATGATAAAGAATACAGTCACTTTGCTATGCTGTCATCCATTGAACCAAAGTCCTATTCAGAAGCTCAGAAAAGTAAAGATTGGATAGCTGCTATGCAAGAGGAACTTGATCAAATTCACAAGAATAATACCAGGACACTCGTTCCAAGACCTAAAGACAAGAATGTGATAGGTTCAAAGTGGATTTACATAAACAAGATGAATGGGAATGGGTCAATAATAAGAAATAAGGCAAGATTGGTGTGTAAAGGCTATGCTCAGTAAGCTGGAATTGATTATGATGAAACTTTTGCTCCAGTTGCTAGAATAGAATCCATTAGAATGCTTCTGTGTTTTGCTTGTCACAAACAAGTCAAAGAATATCAAATGGATGTTAAGTCAGCCTCCCTAAATGAAGACCTAAATGAAAAAGTTTACTTAGAACATCCTGAAGGTTTCAAAGATTCAAAGTATCCCTCTCATGTGTTCAAACTAAGTAAGGCCTTATATGGTCTCAAACAAGCCCCCAAAAGCCTTGTATGAGAAGCTGCATCAGTTCTTAGTTGAACAAGTATTTCACAGAGGCAAGGTTGATAATACTCTTTATGTGAAAACTCATCAAAAACAGTTTCTAATTCTGCAAATCTATGTTGATGATATCATGTTTTGTGGCTCGGACACCTCATTAGCTTCAGAATTTGCTAATCTTATGATGACAAGGTTCGAAATGTCACTTTTGGGGACTCTCAGATACTTTCTTGGTCTTCAAATTACACAAACATCCTCTGGAATCTTTATCTCTCAGCAAAAGTATGCCTCAGAGCTACTTAAAAAGTTCAAATTGGATAATTGTAAGGCTATTTCAACACCACTTGTCCTAATACCAAACTCTCACTGGAGTGCACCACTGAAGCTATTCCTTCAACACTTTACAGGTCAATCATTGGTAGTTTGCTGTATCTTACTACTTTAAGGCCTGATATAATGAATTCAGCGGGTTTAGTGGCCAGATTTTAAAGTAATCCAAAGGTTTCTCATCTTCAAGCTACCAAAATAATCCTTAGATATGTCAAGGGCACCATCTCCTATGGTCTATTCTACATTTACTCAACCTCAATATCCATTACAGCCTTCTCAGATGCTGATTGGGGTGGATTTTTACCTGACCAAAAAAGTACCTCTGGTTATTGCTACACTCTTGGTTCAAATATGGTTTCTTGATTGAGCAAAAAGTAGGACACTGTCTCTCTTTCAACCTCTGAAGCTGAGTATATAGCTGTCTCACAAGCTAGGTCACAATTACTTTAGATGAAGATTACTCTCTCAAATCTTGGCATTCAATTCTCAGGACCTCCCAATCTTTTCTGTGATAATCAAAGTGTTATTACTATCAGTAAGAATCCCACACTGCATTCGAAGAGCAAACATATTGACATCGGTATCATTTCCTCAGAGATAAAGTTTAGCGAGGTCTGATTGATATTACTTATTTTCCTACTGAAGATCAACTTGCAAACATCATGACCAAACCTCTTCTTCCTCAGAGATTCTTAACCCTTCAAGCTCTTCTCAGGGTTGTTCCTCCTCCCTCCTGAACTTATATTGTTGGTCTTACTCACCTTTTGACCTTCAATGTCAAAAAAGGGGAGAAATGGACTAAAATAAGGATAGCTTCAAGCTATTCCTTCTGCATTTGGGTTATTTCAAGGTTATTTGGTTTTTGTCATTAAAGGCAAAAGGGGGAGATTGTTGGTCCTAAGTTGCCTTAAGGAATGTTTGCCTGTTAATGTCAAAAAGTATTGTTTCAGCCTCAGACAATGAAGGTTCAGCCTCGGATAATCAAGGTTCAGTAGCTACAGGCGCTCAGCCTCAGACAATGAAGGTTCAGCACTTCAGTTTTAGCTACAGCCTCGGCTCTGTCACAGTGCTGAGTAAAGGGTAGTATGGTCTTTTCCAACTTTGTTCAAGAATGTGACACGTATCAGTGGTCCTGGATAAGAATGTGACACGTCTCAATGGTCCTAGAGAAGAATGTGACACATATCAGTGGTCCTAGAGAGCTGGTTTATACAAGAATATTCCATTCTTGGAGGCTAAGTTTGGACAGAAATGGAATTCAGTACTTAACCTTGTAACCTGTTGTAGCTGGAAGAATTGTGACGAAATTAGCTAAAGTAGCAGGCTTGCATTGGTCCATTGCTCTGAAAATATCTGAATTGTGCTCTCCCAATCATTAGTGAAAGGTGACAGGTGTATATCCGTGGTGTGTGAGGCCTTGTGAAATTGAGAGTCACTATAAATATGCTGCTATAAGGCTCCTTAAAAATAAAGAGCCTCTGAAATTTATATTACACATTGAGCTGCTCGTGAGAACCCTCAAGTATACTAAGTTAAGCAAGTTTTTCTCTGCTATTTAATGATGATCCATGCAAGAAAAACTTATTGATTCAACACTGAGGTGTGCTTTGTTTGCTGAGATGAAGCCGCTGTCAAATTTGTTGATGCAAGGGCTGTATTAAAGAGTGACTTGGTGTTTCAAGCTTCTGTGGTCAATTCAGAAGATTGACACAGGAATAATTCATCTTCTCACATTTGTTCAGACTGTGTTTTTGTTGAGATTATGCTGAAAATGAATTCGGACAGTGTGGTCAGTAATTAAGCTTTTTTTTTTTTAAGAAATCTTGGATTCAAGTGCTATTTGATTATACTTAGTTATTTTATGATGATCTATGATGTTAGCTAGTATATTTTGAAGCATCAAGATTGTCAAAGTTGAGTTAGTAGCAAAAATATGGCATGTGTAATGACCTAGTCATTTTCCTTCCTTTCCTTTTTTTCGGTAATTTCTTTTTTTCGTCTTTTCCATATTTCGTCCTTTTCTCATTTTTCATTTTTTACTTGCAAAACCTCACTTTTTGTGCTCGGATTTGATTCTGGCTTTGCATACATCTATGATATTTAAATTCCATGATATCTTCATTTTTACTTTTGTAGAAAAGCATGTTAAATGTTTACTTTTCTTGTAAAGGGCATAGATGCATGACTTTTGGTAATTATTCATAACTTGAGGGGTTTTGGGGTAATTATGTGAAGTAATTATTTTTTATCTTAGGGACCATTTTGCAATTTAATATGGAAGATATTTTCAAAAAGGACCTTTTTGCAATTTTTAAAAAAATATGACAAGTGTCACATTCCTAAAGTGCCACTTGTTGACATTGTGGAGGAACCACTTGGAGGCTTAATCTCTTGACACATGGAGGGTGGAGATTCACCCATTTGTTGGCCTAGGATAGGAGCACTTGTTGGCATAGATGGTTGACAAGTGTAGGCTTGATATTTAATCTAGGAAGCTTACTTAGATTCATGACAAGTGTAGGACTCACCTTTAGTCTTGCAAGTGTGTGTGTGTGTGAGGTAGTGCAAGAGCACCTAGTGAGTGGAGAATCCCACCACTTTAACTAAGGGTTTCATCTCATTTTACTCATTTCATCTCTTTCCTCTAAAGAACCCTAAATTGGCCACCATTGGAGCAAAGTTTGATCCAAGGTTTTAAGCTTCATTTTGGTGCCCTTCCACTCACCTTAGACCTATAAGCTTGGGATACTTTATATTCCTCTCACTCTCCTCTATAAAACCCTAGCTTGGTTTCCCATTTAGAGCTTGGTTACTTTGGTATATAAAGATACAATTCTCTATTGAGGTAGGGGGTGTTATAATTTATTTTCTAAGTGATTTAATTGTTCTTATAGTGATATCCAAGTTATATGCATGTCTTGTATTGAAATAAGAAATAAATGATTAATTGTAGCTTGTATATAATTCACTTTAGACTTGATAAATGGCATGGCCATGACTTGATCTTTGTTGTGTATTAATTTGGCATGATTTAAATGAGTTTTTAAATCTAGAGGATTAATTGATTTAAGTTGATTTAAATTCTAATTAATTATACCATGCTTGTATTTCATTTGTGACTATATTAAATTGGAATCATTTGGACAACTCTTGAAATCTAAAGAAATTACTTAGTTGGTCTACTTAATTTTCACCATGTTAATCTAATGATTTAGTCATGTAATCCATGGAACTTATTGTGTTTTATCACATATCATGACTTGTTGCTCTACTTGTTGATTTTGGAAACTTGGGATATCATCAAGAACTTGACATGGCTAGGACTTGGTTCTAGTACGGGAGATAGAGAACTCCCTAAACTATACTGCGCACTAGGGGAAGGTACCCATCGGTTAATAGCCCTAAAGTGATCTCAAGAGTACGGTTTTAGTCCGGGCGATATCCAAGTATCCACTTTAGCTTGATTTCACGCTTTAATTTTCAAACTTGATAACCTTGTGATATTGCATCTAATGGTGCTTTGTTAAAAGTTCCAATGTCCTTTTAATAGCATGGACTAAATTTTAATGAATTGCAAACCTTGTAATAAATTGAACTTATGCATGCCCATTCCCTACGAGTAAAATTGTTTACTCACCCCAAAGTTACTAGGTGTTTTTCAGGTAAAGAAGCATTATTATGGGATGCACAACACTCTTAGACTTGCTAGAATTCTTGAAGTATTTTTGGTGACATTGAATATGCACTTGTTAGCATATCATGATCCTTTTTGGTGTATTGTATAAGAACTTGTATTTATTGTTCAAGCCATGTAATGTGCACTTAAGTGCACCTTTTGATACTTTTAGATGTGTATGTAATAAGTCCAAGGGCCAAAGACACTCATATGCCATGTATGATACCTTATTTTCATAGTTTGTTTATGGAACTCATGAAAAATCCATGCGTTGACATATTTTGCATAAGGCATGCCATGAGGCCGTAGGCCATTCTAGCGCGTCTAATTCACCATTTTACACATGCGAGCATGATTTCATCTCAAAGAATACACGAATTTCAATTGTTGAATTATTTTTGGAAGATTTTATGAATTTTCATGAAAAATTCATGCGTTGGACATCATTCAAAGTTTTCTTTCAATTTAGCATGTTATGGATGTTCATGTAAGGTTCAAAGATGTTTTGAAACTTGTCCGAATCAAATGGGAAGCATGCATAGCCTTAGGATTAAGCCAAGAACCTTCCCATGAGTTGCAGCAGACATTTCTACTGCAGCAGAGTGCATCGGTCGGCTAATGAGAGCCATCAGCCGACTAACACATATCGAGTCTTAATTCCAGAAGCCTTTTTGGGATTTTTGGCGTTTCAGCTAACTGATCATTGGGGTTTGGCTGACTGATCATTGGGGTTTGGTCGGCTGATGATGGAGGTTCAGCTGGCTGATTCTCTCAGGAACCTTCTCCTTTTGATTTTTCTTTGACAGCATTGTTGCAGCAACTTCAGAGAGCCATAACTTCTTCATTCCTAATCTAAATTAGGTAATTCTTAAGTCTAAACTCAATATCTTGAAGTTATCTTTCCAATGGTATAAACCATACATTAAAAATCCAACCGTAGTGAGAGTTATTGTAGTTTTAGTAAGATAGGGTTGTGTTATCTCTTAAACAGAGGATGCCTCTTCGTTCTATTTTCATATCTTTTCCGTCTGGACTCCAAATCAGGTGACTCTAGAGTCTAAATTCATTAATTTTTCATTATATTTCCAATGGTATGCTTGGCAACACCCACTTCCATTTTGGAAAATACAGTTTTGCCCCTAGGCTCATTCTTGTCCGTTTTGAAACGTCACTTCCGCAATTGTTTTCTTTGGGTTCAGTGACCTCATTGAGGATCACATTGGTGTCTTATAGACATGTAGGATCTCTAGATACCATTGTTTTACCCTTTGCATCCGCATTCTAGTTCATTGTTGGATTTATTTTCGGGTCACTACTGTCGCACCGGGTTGAATAAAACCTGGGTCGTTACAGTATGCTTTGGTTTTGAGTATTCTATGCTAAAGATATTCTGTGCCGAGGCTATTTTGTGCTGTTGAGATTCTATGCTAAGGAGATTCTATGCCAAGGCAATCTGTGCCGAAGCGTTTTGTGCCGAAGCTGTTATATGCTAAACCAAGGACTTTAACTGAACTTGTGATATACTTATGCAGTGTTTGATTATACAAAGCTATAAACATGAGTACAACAGTGAAAGAAGATAGTATGAGGAGCTGGTGAATTGATCTCAAAAGGAATTTCCTATTTTACCCCTCGGACACTTAATGTAGCAAATTGCAGTTCTGAGGCAATAAATTGGAATTCTGTG